GATTTCCTAAATACAATAAAAGGCAATAGCCATAAAAATTGACAATTGGGCTTCATTAAAAACACCAAAAGTTACTAGTAACACAGTGAAAAAACAAACCACAAACTGAGAAAATATTTGTTTTATATATATACACACATATATCTAACAAGACTCATGCAGAATATAAAATAATTCCTACAAAGAAATAAAACAATTCACAAGTGGGCAAAAGAACAGGCACTTCACAAAAGAATATACAAATGTTTATTAAGTATATGAAGTGGCATTCAACATCATTACTCACCAGGAAATGCATATTAAACCCACAAGGACCACCTCACACCTATTAGAATGGCTACTATCAAAAAAATAAAAAAAAAGAAATTAACCTGGATGTCATAACATTTATACACTGCTATTCAAAATGGAAATCATAATGAGCACAGTGGCAGTCTGTATTATCAGCTACTCAGGAAGCAGAGGCAGGAGGATCATAAGTTCCAGGCCAGCCTGGGAAACTTAGTGAGATTCTTGTCTCAAAATTTAAAAAAAACAAGACTCTTGTCTCAAAATTTAAAAAACAAGAAGGGCCAGGGATGTAGTTCAGTGACAAGGCACCCTTGGGTTCAATCCCCAGTATCAAAAACTAACTAATAAATAAGTAAAAAATAAATTTTTTAAAAAGCCCTCCTTATTTCAGTTAAGTGGGCAAATTAGTGTGATAAAAAAAAAAAAAAGCAGCCAGGTAGTAAGAGAAAAATGCTGAGATTAAAAACAGGCTATACTGGGCATGGTGGTGAACTCCAGAGGCTCTAGTAGGATAGCAAGTTCAAGAACCATCTCAGCAACTTAGAGAGATCCTGTCTCAAAATAAAAAATAAAAAGTGCCAGGGATGTAGCTCAGAGGTAAAGCCCCTTGGTTCCATCCTTGGGACCAAAAATAAATATTTTTAAAAAAAGCACTGGTTGAAAAGAAGCTTCTTCATGCATCTGTATTCTGATGAGTGTGATATCAAGGCAAATTTATTAAATTATATACTTATATTGGTTCAACAAGTTGACCACTAACAATATCCCAAACAAAATTGGTGAGAACCAATAGTTTTATATGGATCCAGGAAAAGTATTTTTTTAAAGTTATCAAACAACTGGTTAAATGCAGAGCCACATGGTCACACTAGGTAAATGATGCTTCTCAATTTAGAACAATAAAGGTAATATAATGACATGCAATATTTTTATTTAAATACATTGTCTGAAATAGATTATACTCGTTTTCTCTTGAGATTACCTCAAAATACATTTCACTTCATGTAAGTCTATAGAAATGTCAAAATATTGAGCATGAGAGCAACTACTGGAAGGCAATAATTATAAAGCCAAATAGGTGGATTAATTATTCTACATACCTGTGGTTTTCAGATTCCTGTGCTTGCTTACTCATGTACATTCTACTCTTATTTTTCAGAAACTACTTCTGGAAGCTCCCGTTTTGGCTTCTACACTGCCACCTGTAGACATTAAAGAGAAGTAAACCGTGCATTATTCATCAACAATGCATCTTTTCCAGGCGTGTAACAGGAACAATTGGGGGGAGAGGCAAAAAATTTGCTCCAAAAAATATGTTCTTTCTCCTCTGCGTGGAAATTTTTAAGGCATCCCTCTCCCTAAATGGTTTAACAAATTATTTGATTAGAAAGAGTAACATACCTAAATCCAGGGTCATCAACTATACAGCCCTCCGATCAGTTCATTAAGGAAAGAGATGGAGTCACAGAACCCAACTTAACAGCCATTTCAAGACCTGCTGTGTAAAATTAGAAGACAACTTGCTCACTTTGTTAATCGGAGAATTAAGAATTTTGTAAGTACCGCACTGAGACGATGAGAGTACCTAAAGCTAAGATTACTTTATCACAAGGTTGTAAAATTTCTATTTAAAATGGTAATACAGCCGGGCGCGGCGATGCATGCCTGTAACTGTAATCCCAGAGACTCAGAAAAAGAATAGTAAGTTCGAGGCCAGTCTCGGCAATTTAGAGATCACCTCAAAATTTTAAAAATAAAAATAAATAAGATTGGGGATGTAGCTCAGTGGTAAAGAGCCCCGAGTTCAATCCCCAGTACCTAAATAAATCTTAAAAATGAAATGAAATGGTAATACTTCTAGACTGAACTAGAGCTTTGTCCAAGCAGAGTTTGGTGGGGTGTTTTCATCCTAATGTCCTTCCTACCCGATTCGAATGCAGGTAAATGCCGAAAGGTCTTCCTAACGCCCCATGGGTTTTAATACAGGTAGAGCTTATTTTCTTTAAAAAAAGAAAAAAAAAAAGAGGAAAGGAGCGGAGGAAGAAAAATCCGAGTCCAAGCGGCCATGAGGTGAAAGAGAGATTTGTGTATCAGAGGAAAAGAGAGACGGACAGACAAACCTAAAATCCTAGAGTTAACTGAGAAAAACCCGCACCGCACCGCACCGCGCCGCAGCCTTTTACCTTCCTCGCAGTCCCAGGATCTACTAGGGCAAGTGCCCCAGCTCCAGCACCTTAAGCCAAACACACAAGCACCACCCCCCACGTAGGTAAGAGCGCCAGAAGCGCCACCTAGCCAGCGGGGCCGCTACCCCACAAATCCCAGGGCTTCTTTACCGCCATCAGAGATCCAACCCACTTACCCGTAATTCACTTTAACGCCCCGAAAGCCTGTTTAGGCTAATAAAATTGCAGCAAATTCAAGAAAATCTCAAGTCTCCTTGAAACATTCCCTTCCTCCCTAGGACGGACATTCACACACAACACTCTCCCTTCCCTCCCAAGCCCAAACACGCGCTGGGCCATCCCAAGAGGGTCTTTGGGGACCCGCCAGTGACTGATACTGCTCCCACGTGCCTCCATTAAACCCTCGCCCAAACGTGTACAAGCGCCAAGGGCATGTGCACAGCCAACCCTCACAGATAAGTTCAGCAGACCCATTCCGCCCCCCACCCGCGCCACCTCCACCCTGGCCCAAAAAGCATGAGGGAGCCCAAGGGAGAAGGCACGGGCGCCAGTACACAATACTCCTGCAACTCCAACCTTCCCCGCACACGCCCTGGCCGGTCCTGCCACCAGTCTCTCCTCCTAAGGTCCTACAATCACGCGGGCCCGGACCACGGGGAGTCCTGATGGTTGCTGGGTGTGGATGTGAAGACGGGAGCGACCCGCACGCACCACCGAGATTGCGGGAAAGGGGGGTCGCAGTTCTCCAAAGCCGCACCAGGGTTGAGCTCCTACCAAGGGGACCGGGTGGGGGTGGGGACAGTGAGACTCTCCAGTGAATCCCAAGGGAGTGGGCTTTCCCACACCTCTTCCCCGCCTAACACGGCACGCGCGCACATTACGGGGCCGTGCACCTTTCTCCTGCCCCTGGACCTGCCCAGCCGTCGCCCACAAGCGCAGCGGCCAGAAAGGAAGGGCATCCGGCCGGCGGCGGCGGCCCGGGGAGCGGGCAAAGCGCCTTGCTTGAGGGTGCCCACCTGAGCGCAGGGTCGCAGCTGCCGCCGGTGCGCCTGCCGGTGCGCCTTCTCCCGCTGCTGGAGGTAGAGGTAGCGGTTGCGGCCGGACTCCTGGACTCCACGCGCCTCCTCGCTCCTTCCGAGCGGCGGCCCTTGTTTCCTCTTCGTCCTCGAGGGCGAGTCGCCCACCTAGCCCGCAGGTTCTGCCACCGTCCCTCAGCCCGCCGGAGCTAAAGCTGTCCTCCCCGCCCCTTTCCCGCCGCCCCGCGCAACGCTGCGCTCCGCCCCCCGCCCGCCCATCCCAGTCGGGGCCCAGCCGGGGGCTGCGGGCCCCGCGCCTCGTGCCGCAGATCCGGGGTTGGGGGAGGGCAGGGGGCGGCCCTGGGATCCGCCCCGACCCCAGTGCTGCGAACCCGCTGGGACTCTAGGGGCCCGCCCTCACCCCGCGGCAAAGGGTGTAGGCACCGCACGCTCTGTGCTCCTTCTTCCGGCGTCTCTTCACTCCCCGCAGGGCACCTTCTAGGGCCCCGAGGGTGCCTCGTGTCTTGGGGGGAGGGGGGTCTTGTGAAGCGGGGTGGAGTGAACCCAAGAAAGGAGGCGAAGAAATTACCATGTCAACTGCCAGGGGATGCAAGTTGCTGCCTGTGCCTTGTTTCTGTTACATTAACTACCTGGATGTGCTGCTGTCCTTGTTACAACCGCAGTAATATTCTGAGGCATGGATATAAGATTCCCAAGCTAATTAGTGTAAGGCTGTTGGGTTTTGTTTTTTTTTTCATTTAATGATGGCAAAAGACAACAGATTCACTCTTTTTTAAAAAGTTGCTTTGCATATATGTATTATACATATGTATATAAAGCCACATTTCTAATTTAAAAAAATAGCAAAATATAAATAACAGAACAGCTGTGTTTTGCAGAAACAGAACGAGTGTGTATGTGTTATTTAAACCCACTGTAATTATATTAATTGGTTCGTTTTAAAGTGTATTTTAGGTATTTCCTAAAACAGGCTCAGAATTTAGGAATTAGGAACTCCTGAGTTTTAATTTGGCTTTTTGCCTTAGTTTTAAAATGTCATTTTCAGGGCTGGGGATGGGGCTCAGTGGCAGAGCGCTTGCCTAGCACATGTGAGGCACTGGGTTCGATCCTCAGCACCACATAAAAATGAATATATAAAAATAAAAGGTATGCATCTACAACTAAAAATATAAAAAAATGCCAATTTCATGGAAATTACTAAATGTAGTTATTTAGAAAATGGATTCTTTTTCTTCCAGGTTGGCACAGATCAGGCAAAGGATAGATTTTTTTAAGTCAAGAAACAATAAAATTCTCATTCATTTTCTGGTTAGGAACTATCTGGTGTGGTAGCCTTTTCTTTAGGGTTTTTCAGACAAACTTCCTTTCTGTTTTCTCTTACATTCTTCTTCAAAATTTTCTCCCTGAATAAAGTTATAGGTGCCAGGAGTTTTTAGCCTCTACTTTCTTAGAGATAGGAAAATTCATTAATAATTCAGTATGAAAATAAACCCCAAGCTCATGATATAAAATTTTAGACTGATTAATCCTATTTTTCAACTCTGCTTTTAGTAAGTTAACCTAATGCTTGAAAACTAAGAGTTTTTAAAGTTTCATCTTTATAAGAATAAAATGTGCACTTTTTAATTAACATTTCAAACCAAATTAAATTCATTAAATTGACTAATGAAAAGCATATCAGTACTGTACGTGTTGTAAATGAGGACAATGGAGATGATAAACATTTCTGGAGAAGAGACTCTGAAGCAAAGAAAACAGTCTTTAGAAAAACTGATGATTCCCTTTTCAAGAGAAGGATGACAAATGCCAGTAATTATGCAAAGAATGACTGCTGCCTCTTTTCTCTTTGCTTTGGTTTTGTGGGTAGGCCTGCATTTATCTCTTTTGATCATCGTAATAAAAGTAAAGTAATTCAGCATTCCGGTGACATTACTTAGTAAATTAGCAATTTGAAAATGCTTTTATTACCTAATTAATCCAAGTAAATGCCTCTGATAAATCCGGTTTCACTCTTACATTTTGTGTGTGTGCCTCCAGAGAAACACTTGCAAGACATAAAAACAGCTAAGGTAAGCTCAACAACAATTGCAAGCCAGATTCCTTGGGTGTATGTGTGTTGCAATAGAGTTAATATAAGTGGGCTTTGGGTCTTAAATTATATATCAGATATTGGTTATAAATTGCTCTTTGGCTGCTTCTTTAATGAGTTCCTATATGTTTGCTTTGCCCTGTTTATTCCCCAGAAGTGTATTTTGTTTCTTTCTATCTGCCTTATTAAATTTATCTTCACTTAAACTATTTGAATTGAATTTCCAAGAATCAGACCCTAATCCATAGCTCACTTGACAATCATTTTTGTCCTTCAAATGGAGTCTCCCTTGAGGTCTTTGATAAGAATCCAGCAAAATTAAACATCCAAAATTGGAAAGAGTACTTCATCAGGCTTGGTTCTAAGAGATAACAATCAGATTTCTCAAAACCAGGAGGGTGTGACCCATTTGAATAAAAAGAAGCAAGAAACAAAACAGCAAATCCTTTTTGTTCAGGTCAAAACTAAGGGAACAAAATTTCAATTGAACCTCTTTCTAATCCTGAATTGTTGCTACAAGGTATGTAAAAAGCACAATTCAAATAATTTTATCTGTGTTTTCTTTTCACCACTCTTTCACCACTACAAATCCTTTGCTCCACTGACCAAACACCATTACATTTCACATTCCCCTTTTAGTTCCTGTGCTATTGAAAATTTTTCACTGATCTTTAAATAAGAAAGTGCACTGGACACTCCCGCTGTCCCCAAGGAATCCTGTGTCACCCTCCATTGGTTTCAAAAGTTCTCTTGCCATGTCTGTGACATCGATGAAGAGAGATCTGAATATCCCGTATAGACCCCTGGATAGGGAGCTCTAATGACTAGTCTGAGTTCAAAACAGTAGGGTTAAAACAAAACAAGATTTTTTGTTCTAACAATTTAATCCTATTGGCATCTCCCATTCTGATTCTCATCCCAGAAAAAAAAAAGTTTCATAATGTGTTAGCTTTCCCTTCTTGAGAAATGTCCTCCTGCTAAGTATTTAAATAGTTTTGTGTTCATTCACTCTTTGAGACCCTAGTCTGAACATAATATAGATTTCTTTCTTTCCTCTGGTATCTGAGAATGGATTTATAGGGAGATGATGGGACAGTTCTTTTTCCATTTTCCTCTTCTTTTTTTTTCCTCTAGGAAAAGCATGAACTCAGTTTCTTTACTTTGGTTGATTAGGATTAGTGAGTAACATCATTGATTCAGATTTGCAGAATGTCAATTACTTTAATTGGTCTCCTCCTTGTGTTAAGGAAATATGTCACCATTTATCTCACAAGACAATGAGGATAGAGACAATACCACCCATGTAATGTTCAGATTGAAATGTTGATGCTCTAAGCTAAGTTACTTAAAAATATGTGTGTGTCTTTGCATATATGTAGGTGTGTGTATGTATAATTTAAAGCTAAATATAAACCTGAATACTTGTAATAGATCCTTCAGCTACAAAACCTTTGGTAAGCTCTCTTGTGTTTTTGTTCATTTGTTTGTTTTGTTTTGCTTCAGGTATGTGATAAACTGAAAAATAATACCTCACTATTTACCTTACTCAAAATTCTGATCCCAATCTTTCCATAAATTCCCAGCATTATTTAACCATATCATTCCATGATTTTAAAAAAAGGGAAAAAGTAATCCCAGCTACTCAGAGGCTTAGACAGAAGCATTACAAGTATGAGGCCAAACTAGGCAATTTAGTGAGACCCTTCTCAAAATTAAAAAAAACAATAAAAGGGCTGGGGTGTAGCTCAGTGGTAGAACACTTGCACAGCATTTGTAAGCCCCTGGGTTCAATCCCCAGGACCACAAAAATAACAATTTTTAGGGGTTGGGGTTGTAGCTCAGTGGTAGAGTGCTTGCCTAGCATAAGTGAGGCACTAGGTTTGATCCTCAGCACCACATCAAAATAAATAAATAGACAGATGAATAAATAAAGGTATTGTGTTCACCTGCAACTAAAAATTTAAAAAAAAAAAAACAAGTTTTTAAAAATGAAAAGAGGAGTTGGGGTGTAGCTCAGTGGCAGAGCACTTGCCTAGCATATTTAAGTCCCTAAATTCAATCCCCAGCACTAAAAAGAAACAAAATAAAAAAGAAGGAAAGGAGCAAACAAAAGCAAGAAAAGGCAGTATGATAAAATGATTATATGTGATTATATATATGACTGGTTAGCACAACAGATAAGCACATCAGGTTAGTAAAATCATAATTTCCTCCCACTATGGACAATCTTGCTTTGTTCTGTTTCAGAGTTGGCAATTAAAGACAACCTATGGGCTGGGGCTGGGGCTAAGTGGTAGAGTGCTCACCTAGCACATGTGAGGCTCTGGATTCAATCCTCAGCACCCCATAAAAATAAATAAATAAAATAAAGGTATTGTGTCCAACTACAACTAAAAAATAAATATTAAAACAATGTTTAAAAAAAAGACAACCTATATGGTGACATATTTCCTTAATTGTGTCCCTCAAAAAGAATAGGTTGAAATTCTACCCTGTGAAACCTACAAATGTGACCTAATTTGGAGAGAAGGTCTATAATTAAGAGGAGTAAAATGGTTCCTTAATCCAAGGTGTGACTTGTATCCTTATAAGAAGTAGAGATGTAGACACAGAAGGAATTTGGCCTCGGGAAGGCAGAGAGACTGGAGTTACATTGCCACAAGCCAAGGAACACCTGGTACTACCAGAAGTCAGACAAGAAAGGATTCTCCCCTAGAGGTTTCAAAAAGAATATGGTCCTTCTACTACCTTGATTTTGGCCTTCTAGCCTTCAGAATTGTGAAACAATACATTTCAGTTGTTTTTGGCCACCCAGTTTGTGGTACTTTGTAGCCTTAGGAAATCAATATACCAGGAAATCATCATCAACTCCTGGTGATGGCAGCCCATCATCTTCTACACCCAGTGTAGAGTAAATGTTTAAGCACAGAGTATATAAGAATGCTAGAGCTGGTGTGGTGGAGCATTCCTATAATCCCAGCAGCTCAGGAGGCTGAGGCAGTAGGATTGCAGGTTTGTAGCCAGCCTCAGCAATTTGGAGAGCCTGTAAGCAACCTAGTGAGACCCTGTCTCAAAATTAAAAAATAAAA